TTGAACTTGTATCTGTGGGAATTCATCAGGTCGGAGATAACTACTGTGCGGGCTTCGGCATCAACGGGCACAGTCTGGGGCTTTCCATTGGCATCATTGTACTGGATGAGGAAAGAGTTGAACTTCCCGGCTGAGATGGTCCATGAGAGTCGAACAGAGTCCTGGGTGACCTCGGAGATGAAGAGATCGCCCAGCGTTGGGCGGATCTCTGGTTCTGCCATTCGTTCTAAAAGCAAACAAATCAGAAGTTGCAAATTACCTGCAAGTCCCACTTTCACAGAGGCCTTAGTCCCTAACCCCCACGAAAGTGAAGTTGCTCAGCATTTGTCATTTAAATGCAGAAACTGGAGAATAAAAGAGAAATCTTAGCCAGCGGAGCTGTTCCCAGATGAAGGTGAAATGGATTTATTCTTTCCCATTTATTTAGAAAGCTGGACTGAAAGGAAAGGAGGAAGTTGACTTAACCAATCCATGAGCATTCCTCCCAACTCAAATATTTAGAAGTTGCAATAATAAATCAATTGAGCAATGAAAATAACATTTGCTCGAGTTAGCGGCATTGGATCTCCATGAAGGTGAAAATCCGTGAATAAATAAATTGTTGGGTTGTTGTAGGTTTATCGGGCTAAATGCCATGTTCTAGAAGCATTGTCTCCTGACGTTTCGCCTGCATCTATGGCAAGCATCCTCAGAGGTTGTGAGGACTGTTGGAAACTAGGAAATTTAGGTTTATATATCTGGAAGGTCCAGAGTGGGAGAAAGAACTCTTGTCTGTTGGAGGGAGGTGTGAATGTTTCAGTCGGGCACATTGATTAGCACAGCAACCCAGTGATTCCAGCCATGAAAACCTTTGAGAACACAGTAATAGGCTTTATTTGTATTACATCCCCTCTCCCCAAAGGGACTCGGGACAGCTTACAACAATGATGGTGATGAATTTATCCATTCTCTGAGAGATTCTTTTACATTCTCTTTTCATCTTGTAATTTACCCTCATTTATTATTTAATCAAGTTTTACTGTGCTTTAGTTTATTTTAGTTAATTATTATAGGAGTTTTAGGGTAACGACGACTAGCATCTATTTGTGTATTTTTGTCTTTTGTTGATTATTGTCGATATGGTCAGTGGACTAATCAATACAAAGATCCATTGATCCAGTTTCATGTATCCTCCCATGGATACAGGGGTCGTACGTAGGGGACATCGGTAGGGATACCAAGGTGCTTATTTATTAAACCATTGTTCTCCCAACCCTGCTGTATGCCTGTGAAGCGTGGACTGTCTACAGATGTCACATACAACTCCTGGAATGATTCCATCAGCAATTTCTCTGAAAAATCCTGCAAATCTCTTGGGGAAAACAGGCAGACAAATGTCAGCGTGCTGAAAGAAGCAAAGATCCCCACCATCGAAGCGATGCTCCTCCACCATCAACCCCGCTGGACCGGCCACGTTGTCCGGATGCCCAAAGCAGTCTACCAAAGCAGTTGCTCTACTCTGAACTCAAGAATGGAAAACGGAATATTGGAGGACAGGAAAAGAGATTTAAAGATGGGCTCAAAGCCAACCTTAAAAACTCTGGCATAGACACTGAGAACTGGGAAGCCCTGGCCCTTGAGTGCTCCAGCTGGAGGTCAGCTGTGACCAGCAGTGCTGTAGAATTTGAAGAGGCATGAATGGAGGGCAAAGGAGAGAAATGTGCCAAGAGGAAGGTGCATCAAGCCAACCCCAACCGGGACCACCTTCCACCTGGAAACCGATGCCCTCACTGCAGGAGAAGATGCAGGTCAAGAATAGGGATCCACAGTCACCTACGGACCCACCGCCAGGACACTGAACTTGGAGGACAATCTTACTTGGACAATGAGGGATTGTCTAAGTAAGTAAGTAATAGGGGTCGTACCTGTGACTACTTCAGCAGAGACGGGGCCAAGGCGCTTGCGTCCAGAGATGCCATAGAGGTTGAACTTGTATCTCCGAGAAGGCACCAGGTTGTAGATGACCACCTCGTGGGAGTTTCTGTCCACAGGCAATGCATGGGGTTTCCCCTCCGCATCCCGGTACTGGACAATGAAGGAGTCGAAATTCCCAAGCAGGACGTTCCAGGAGAGACGGACAGATGTGCTGTTGATGTCAGAAGCTGAGAGCTCCCCCAGAGTGGGCCGTGGAGGGGGTGCCTTTTCAGAAGCAGCTGCAGTTAGGAAAGATAGAGGCAGAAGGTAGATTTCCCCAAAGATTTAGAAAGACATGAGGCTTAGAAGAGCAGGAAACTGGTGCTGAAATATTACCATTTGGCTACTGTAAATACTTGTGTAGTAGTCAACCTCATGCATAAGTTGACGGCATGTTTGGGGACCAAAATAATAGATACTACCCTGGAAAAGTGGAGGGTCATTCCATGGAGAGAGGAAAGTGACAGCACCACCACAGATGGCAATCCTGCAATTGTCACAATATTCCTGTCCAGTGATTCATATCAAAGCAGATTAACCCACAATATCTGAACTGGGTTATCTGAGTCCACACTGCCATATATTCCAGTTCAAAGCAGATAATGTGGGATTTTATTCAGCCGTGTAGAAGGGGCCAGAGTCAAGCGGTTCAGAAGTAACTACTATTGACTAATGAATAAGTTGACTCAGGTTAATTTTGAGACTTATATATGAGCATATACAATAATTCAAAGAAGCAAAAGGGGAGATCCAAGACATTTTGCTGTCTGAGGCAGAGTATCAGAGGGGTGGTTTGGATCATCCTTGTAGTCTCTTCCAGCGGATTTACAGAGAAACAGACTCTTGTCACTGGCAACAGCTGCTGTCCGGTAAATGAAAATGGGGAGGCTGGAGATGTTACTTAGCTTTGTAATTATGGTAGTCGTGTAACAAAGGAGGTGATCTAGCATCAGAACTTGTAAAAGTAATATGGATGATATAGGAACAAAGGAAGACACAAACAAGAACTTGGGAAACACAATAATGAGTTTAAAGGGATCCTCTTCCATAACCCATGCTGAAGAAAAGCTGCACACCCATTAGGGTTGGGTCCATTGCACTTGTTTGTTTTTCCACAGATAGCCTGAAACTAAAACTAAAAAATAACAACAGAATCCAAAGCTGGAGCACAGATATCATTTTCTGACCTAGAAAGAAGAGCATCAAGGAGTAAAAAACGAGTTACAAGATGGTCACAACTGACCTGTAGTGGCCTCCGTGAAAACAGGTCCAAAACGCTTGCGTCCAGAGACACCATAGAGATTGAATCTGTATCTATGAGAGGGGACTAAGTCATGAAGCTTCATTGAGCGCAAACTCCCATCCACAGGCAAAGCATGGGGCTTGCCATCTGCATCTCTGTACTGGATGATAAAGGAGTCAAAGTTCCCACTCTTCATGGTCCAGGAAAGGAGAAGAGATTCTGCCGTGATGTCCTGGGCTGACAGTTCTCCAAGCTTGAGCTGAGCTATGTTCTGTGGTTTGGTGCTCGGGCCTGGAACAAAAATGGGATGCTAAACTGAAAAAATGATGGTGAGATTTGTGATGGAGATTTAGTATTGAATGTCATGACATCAGTGTTTGAATTATACAAGGTATAGGGGTTCTGACTCAACTGTTTTCAAAATGGTTTTATTCTCAAAGGCAAAGCCAAACCCCACGTATCCAAAATGACTGCTCACTGGGTACCGTGGATCTAACTAACATACTTCACAGAGTTGTTGTGAGAACCCGAATGGTGAAGAACTCTCTACACTTAAACACAATCGGCGCTGACAAAATTACCATTTGCCAGCTGCAGAAGGCCACCTTACTGGGATCTGCACGCATTATTCACCGATACATCACACAGTCCTAGACACTTGGGAAGTGTCCGACGTGTGATCCAATACAACAGCCAGCAGAGTGATCTTGTTTGCTGTGGACTCATCTTGTTGTGTTTCAAATAATAATAATAATAATAATAATAATAATTATTATTATTATTATTATTATTATTATTATTATTATTATTATATTCCACCCTTCTCCCCAAGGGCTCAGAGCAGATTACAGCATATAAATAGACACAGGCCAACATTAAATGCCTTGTTACAATGACATACAATGAGACACAAATAAATACACAGACAAAGGCTAAGGCTTCTCCTTTCATTTCTGGCTCTGAAGGCAGTGCTCACCTCCAGCTCTGAGGGAGGTATTCTTTCTCCATTTCCAAGCCTGTGTATGTAGACACCTCCTAGTCGTGTGGTTGGAGAAGGAAGGAAAGACAAAAGGGACGGAAGGAAGGGAGGGAGGGAGGGAGGGAGGAAAAGAAGGATGGAAGGAAGGGAAGGAGGAAGGAAAGAGAGAAGTAAGGAAAGACGAAAGGGTGGGAAGGAATGGAGGGAGGGAGAAAGAGGGAGGGAAGGATAGGAGGGAGGGAAGAGGAAAGACAAAAGAGAAGGAAGGAAGGAAGGAAGGGAGGGAGGAAGGAAGGAAGGAAGGAAGGAAGGAAGGAAGGAAGGAAGGAAGGAAGGAAGGAAGGAAGGAGAAAGACAGAGAGACGGAAGAAGGGAGGGAGAAAAGAAGGAAGGAGGAAAGGGTAGAAGGGAATGAAGGAGGAAGGGAGAAAGAGAGAGGGTAGGAAGGGAGGGAGGGAGGGAGGGAGGGAAGAAGGAAGGAAAAAGAGAAGAAAGGAAGGATAGAATAGTGTGAGAGAGGAGGGCCTGAGAAAGGAGCCCAAGGGGCCGCATCCGACCTTCGGGCCTGGGTCCACCATACCTGATTTAACCAATTACACCACCACGGCCCCACTTATGTTATGGCTATATGTAGTGCCTGACTCTGAGAAATATCCTCACCAACAAGAAGTCCTTAAAATATGCCATGCTGGTCACATAGTGTTAAATACTGCTTATTGCACATTTTGTCTTTCTCTGCATAATTTTGAAGTTCTATAAAATACTGATGTTGGGATAAATATCTAGCTCTTTGGTCCAGTGCTTTGAGAAGGTTGGACTGAAGCACTGCTAGGGATTAGTAGCCCCCTTAGTCAAAGTTATGGCTTTTTTTCTGTTTGCCTTCCTACTCAGTTTAGGGCCTCATCCTAGCTTCACATCCCAACTGGGAAGAAACAGGGCTGATATTTCAGTCGTCTCTTACTGTAGAATGGAAAATTAAGTTGCAATTAATAATTAATAATTGAGTTTGGAGGTTTAAAAGAAAGGAAAGAGTTTGTTCAGCTGAAGTCTGAACAGTTTGTGAAAGAGAAAAATATATTCTGGAGTTATGGTCCTCAATGCAGCTGCGGCTGTTCTCCTAAGGAAGGAAAGATGTTAGCATGGAAAAAGGGAGAAACTCCAGGTGCAAAGAGAACTTCTGACCTGTGATGGTATCTGCAGAGATGGGACCCAAGCGTTTGTGCCCGCTAATGCCATAAAGATTGAACTTATATCTGCGAGAAGGAGCCAGACCAGGGATGGTGACCTCACGGGAGTTGCCGCTGAGAGGCAAGACCTGGGGTTTGCCCTCCACGTCTTTGTACTGGACCAGGAAAGAGTCGAAAGTCCCAGCTGGTATGCTCCAGGACAGACTGACCGAATCACTGGTGGCCTTAGAGACAGATAACTCTCCTAGCCTGGGCTGAACAGTAGGCTCTTCCTGAGGGCGCTCTTGCACTGGAAGGGAAGAGAAGGGCAGGAGGGTGAAGAATAACAGAATGCAGGCTCTGAAACCCTAAAACAGAGGTTTAAAATGTTAAAATGAAGATTAAAATCTGGGAGCAAGTTGTCGTATGAAACCAACCTGCTGGAGAAAATTAGGAGTAGAAGAAGTCAACAGAGGTGGGAGAGTTGGAGACATATTTGAAATGCCATTCTCTGAACCAAGCTCAAATGTCAAAGTTGCCTTTGCTTAATGGTCAAAAGCCATTAATATTCATATAAAACATTTTTGTTTCTCTAGCGCAAGTCACACTTTCTGAGTTCTGGAGGGAGACAAAGGACCCCCACTGAATAAATCTTGCCAAGAAAACCCTGTGATAGGTTCACTTTAGTGTTGGAATAAGTCAGAAATTACTTGAAGGCACACAACAGTAGGGGGGGAGGGGGAAAGAGTTGTGGAGATGGTTCCTACGAAGGGAGTTCATTAAAAATTTTCCCTGACCCACTTCATGTGGACTGAGAGCAATGAAACTTGGCACAGTTCTTAGTCCTGCTCTCCATTGGTGCCACCTAGGGACACACACGTCTCCCATCGTTTTAAGCAACTGTAAGCACTTCACTTGTAGAAGTTGACAGGTTGCTCCAAAAGCCACATTGTGACTTTGGAAATCAGAGTCTTAACATCTGAAAAATGCTTGCCTTTCCAAAACAACATCATTGTTGGAAAGAGGTGGTAATCCGATGGTGCGAGGTTGGGTGAATAAGGGGGATGTGCTAGAATTTCAAAGCCACAGCAGCATGCTTCTATTTGGGCAACAGGTGAGTTGTGAATTGGTACACTGTCTTGTAGAAGGCAGACACTTTTGGTTTTGATGCCTTCCCACTATTTCCACAGAAGTGAAGCTTAGTATGCCACAGTGATCATGGTCCCCTTTGCTAGGAAATCCATCCATAATACTCCATGCTGGTCCTAAAATACTGTGAGCATGACCTTGTCTGCCGAGAGTTGGGCATGTGCCTTCTTTGGAGGCGGTGAGTCATGATGCTTTCATTGCATCGGCTGGACTTTAGTCTTAGGATCATAGGGATGGACCCAGCTTTCATCCTGTGAGATCAGTCTGTTTGAAAAAGTCCTCCTGGTTTCCATTGCACATCATTGTTAATAGAGCCTGAGAGCTTTCGATTTGTTCCTGTTTCTGAAAAAGTGTGAGCAACCAGGGGACCCAGTGAGTGGATATCTTATGCATGGGAAGATGGTCTTGGATGGTTATTTCCACGTACCTCACACTAATCTCGACATTTCAAGCTAGGTGGCAAATGGCTATGCAGCGATTTTCCAAAATAACGATCTCCACTTACTGGATGGTGTGTTCATCCATAGCAGAGTGGAGTCGCCCTGGAATTGGAGTTGTTTCACCGAAGTCTGACAGGAGTCCCCGGTGGCGCAGTGGGTTAAAGCACTGTGTCGGCAGGACTGAAGACCGACAGGTTGCAGGTTCAAATCCGGGGAGAGGCGCATGAGCTCCCTCTATCAGCTCCAGCTCCTCATGCGGGGACATGAGAGAAGCCTCCCACAAGGATGATAAAACATCAAAAATCATCCGGGCGTCCCCTGGCCAACGTCCTTGAAGACGGCCAATTCTCTCACAACAGAAGCGGTTGCTCCTGACACGACCAAAAAAAAAACAACAACAAAAAAAACACAAACCGAAGTCTGACCACATTTGAATTGACAATGCCAGTTCTTGACTACACCATATGATGGGGAATCATCACTATAAACCTCTTTCATCTCATCGAACGTCTCCTTTGGTGTGCAGCCTTTCAAGTCAGGGAACGTGAGGATTGCTCTGTATTCCACTGCGTCTATTCTCAAACCTCACACCACTTCAACACCTGTCAAATCAAGACCATTATCAGTTCTGAGTTGTAAATTGGCATGTAACCTTGTTGTTGATGTTTATTTGTTCAGTCGCTTCCAACTCTTCGTGATCTCATAGACCAGCCCATGACAGAGTTCCCTGTGAGCTGTGGCCACCCTCATCTCCTTCAAAGTCAAGCCAGTCACTTCAAGGATACCATCCATCTATCTTGGTCACCCCCTCTTCCTTTTCCCCCAGCATCACTGTCTTCTCCAAGCTTTCCTGTCTTCTCATGATGTGGCCAAAGTACTTCATCTTTGCCTCTAATATCCTTCCCCCAGTGAGCAGTTGGGCTTTCTTTCCTGGGGTATGGACTGGTTGAATCTCCTTGCGGTCCAAGGCACTCTCAGAATTTTCCTCCAACACCACAGTTCAAAAGTGTCTCTCTTTCTTTGCTCAGTCTTCCTTATGGTCCAGCCCTCGCATCTATAGGTTGCTATGGGGAATACCATTGCTTTAACTATGCAATCCTTCATTGCCAGTGTGATGTCTCTACTCTTCACTATTTTATCGAGGATGGTCATTGCTCTCCTCTCAAGAAGGAAAAGTCTTCTTATTTCCTGGCTGCGGTCTGTGTCTGCAGTAATCCTTGCTCCTAGAAATACAAAGTCTGTCACTGCCTCCATGTTTTCTCCCTCTATTTGCCAGTTATCAAGCAGTCCTGTTGCCAGAATCTTGGTGTTGTTTTTTTTAATGTTTAGCTGCAACCCAGCTTTTGCACTTTCTTCTTTCACCTTGGTTAGAAGGCTCCTCCTCGCTTTCGGCCATCAAAGTGGTGTCATCTGCATATCTAAGGTTTCATCCAGCAATTTCAACCCCAGCCTTTCATTTGTCAAGCCCCGCACATCGCATGATGTGTTCTGCATACAAGTTGAATAAGTTGGGTGAGAGTATACAGCCCTGCTATACGCCTTTCCCAATCTTGAACCAGTCTGTTGTTCCATGTTCATTTCTTACTGTTGCTTCTTGATCATTATACAGATTCCTTAGGAGACAGACAAAGTGGCTTGGGATCCCCATACCATCAAGAACTTGCCACAATTTATTATGATCCACACAGTCAAAGGCTTTAGAATAGTCAATAAAACAGAAATAGATGTAACGTATAGAGATTATATCATTACACATAATAAAACAGAAATAGGTGTAACCTATGGAGACTTATGTCATTAGACGTGTGGAGTTTCAGCATCCTGTGATAAATAGAATTGGGTCAGGGGAAATCTTTAATGAACGCCCCGCGTAAAAGACTGTTTGCCCACTAACACACGTTTGTTGCAAGAACAGAGCATGAATATGTTTCTTTCGGGGACTACAACTCCCAAATAGACCAAGAGATATTTCCCACACCGTTGTCATTGCAAGGTGCTAATAAAAGGGCCTAAACTGGTTAAGGTCGATTACGTATGGCTTGAACTATGTTGTGGCTGTTTCAAGTTAAAACGAAGGGCAGGAGAGGGAGGACAGTTTTCAAAAATGTTAATTGGAATCACAAACTCTCTGCCGGTGAACCATTTTCCAGGGATCATTGCAAAAGGGCAGAACATTTGCTTGATGGTCCCTGATTGAGTAGGATCATTTGATACACAAAACACATGGCTTTGTTTTTTTCCTTAATGGCCCCAGTACAAACTAGCTGGCAGTCCTTTGTTTCTTTCATCTCATCCAAAGTGGCTCCAGCCAGTCAGAGAGCAAAGACTCTTATGTCTTCTTTGACCGGCTGGGACCACTGTAGATGGGATGAAAGACATGAAGGATTGCCAGCCAGGTCCAGGGAACAGGCAGCCACTTCTTTTGAGCTGAGAATCAAACCTAGAGAATATTGAACTCAGGACTAATGTGTTTCTGGGAATATGTCCCAGAATCTGATCTTTTCTTAAGTAACACATTTTTAGATTACAGCTCCCAGGCTCCTTCAGCTAGAATGCTAATGGCCACGTTGCTCGGAGAGATCGTGCGGTTCAGAATCCAAAAACATTACGTTTCCAAGCTCTACATCAGAATTTCAGTGGCAGTCATTCAGGGTTTCTGGAAGACACTGCCATAGAAAGGTGCCTTTTATATGGAACATTGCTTCTTTTAATCCAGCACGAGCTAATGTTACTAAAAGGAAGATTCAAGGACGGGGTCTTCCCCGACTCTGTCTGGAGATGGAAGAGATTGTGCCGAAGGACTTCTGTGACACTTATCTCGGTGGGAACTATGGACGGTGAATCTGCCAATTTTTTTTCATTGCTTCTATTTTTTTTTATCATGCATTGAATTCCTCTTGAATACTATTATTTCTAAAAATGCATTTTTGTGTTTGTTTTCTCCATCCCACACATTTTTGTGTGGATGTTTCCCAGGCATAAATGTCACTGTAATGTCCCCGGATTCGAACCTGCAACCTGTCGGTCTTAAGTCATGCCAGCACAGGGGTTTAACCCACTGCGCCACCAGGGGCTCCTTAATATACAGTAAGACCCCCATAACTGCAGTAGTCATGCCCAAGGTTCATCAATTGGTGATGCCCTCCAGGCGATTCTATGGTATACTTCTCCTGGAAATTATTATTACAGAGGGAATTTCCAGGGGAGAACCAAGCGAAATCGCTGGCAAATCTGTTTTCCTAACAGATCAGAGATATCAGGGTATTCAGTCTAACAAATGAAACCATTGCCTAGCATAATTAAATCTGGTGGTATATCACAAGAGAAAATTCTACTCTAAAGAGTTTTTGGCTCTTCTTGAAAAGGCATTTTCCAAAATCATCTGTGGAAGGAAAAATATAAACTGAGAATCATTGCTTCAGACAGAGATGTTCCTCTAGAGCAGGGTTCCTCAAACTTTTTAAACAGAGGGCCAGGTCACAGTCCCTCAAACTATTGGAGGGCCGGATTATAATTTGAAAAAAGCATGAATGAATTCCTATGCACGCTGAACATATCTTATTTGTAGTGCAAAAAAACACTTAAAACAATACAATAATTAAAATGAAGAACAATTTTAACAAATATAAACATTAGTAATTCAATGGGAAGTGTGGGCCTGCTTTTGGCCGATGAGAAAGGATTGTTGTTGTTGTGTGCTTTCAAGTCATTTCAGACTTAGGTTGACCCTGAGTGAGGGCCGGGTAAATGACCTTGGAGGGCTGTATCTGGCCCTTGGGCCTTAGTTTGGGGACCCCTGCTCTATAGGAATCTCTAGCTCTTCCAGAATGTCCAGGTCAACTGTCAGAGAGTTGCACTGAAGGACCGATAAATACCTAGAACAATGGGTTGTTGTAGGTTTTTTCGGGCTTTATGGCCATGTTCTAGAGGCATTGTCTCCTGACGTTTCACCTGCATCTATGGCAAGAATCCTAAGAGGTAGTGACCTACAAAAACCCAGTGATTCCGGCCATGAAAGCCTTCGACAATACCTAGAACAATGTTATCTGTGTGAATCTCTAGGTCCTCTAAGTGCAAAGTCAGATGACCTAGGGCTCTTCCACACTGCCATATATGACAGTTCAAAGCAGAAAATGTGGGATTTTATTCAGCTGTGTGGAAGGGGTATTGGAGATTTCTAAAGAGAATATATCCATCCGATTTGCAAATAATCCAATCTGCAAAAGCAAAACCCACAAAATGTGAAGAGCCCACTGTAAAGTGGAGGATGCAGTAACCCTGGAGTTTAACACATGAATAAGCTAAGTACGTTTTTGATCTGTTGTAACTGTGATTTGTCTGCTTCATATGATACACTCCCCAGGGGAAAATTGTCAATTAAGTTGATATCAGCAAAGCAGTCAAAAAAGAAGAGCACCCAGAACCAATGATAAGCTTCTGCTGACCTGCCGTGACAGCATCAATTGAGACGGGTCCAAGATGTTTCTGGCCAGAGACTCCGAAGACAGTGAATTTGTATCTTTGTGAAGGTGCCAGGTTGTAGAGATGGAGGGAGCGCATGGCTCCATCCACAGGTAAGGTCTGGAGCTTGCCCACAGCATCCTTGTATTGGATGAGGAAAGAGTCAAAGCTCCCTTCCCGGATGCTCCAGGAAAGGAGAAGAGAATCAGGGGTGACCTCAGAGACGGTGAGGTCTCCCAGGCTGGGCTGGACAATCTTGCTTGGCTCTGGCAACACCTTCTCCGTCTCCTCCTCTGTCTCCTCAATTACCTTCCCTGGTGTTTCCGCAGCTATAAAAATAAGAGAACGAGATGGTGGAGGAGGCCGAGATCCAGTTTCATAGAAAGAAAGCTATCATGAAGTCAAAATGAGGTTAGTGATTTCTCAGTCGAGATGCTCACAGAGTTCCCTTTCCTGTTAGACAGAAACCATAAGGGCAGAGAGAGAAAATTTTCCACATTCAAAAGTCATGCATGCAAACTTTTCAACTGATGCAAACCTCTTATTTCTGTAAGGCTGAGCACATGGTTGGAAATAGCAACCTTCTACAAGCCTCCTATAGTAGTTATTTGCTATGCATATAATTCAGATTGCTTACTATATTGTATGTATATTTTGATATGCAGTTTTCCCTTAACTCTATGTTGTTTGAGGTTGTGGAAGGGACTACAGATCTGGGACTATTCAGACCGAGACTCCATTTTAGAAGTCTTTTTGCTTCAGAAGCAGTACAGTACAGTTTAGAAGCCAGTAGTATCAAAATGCTTTAGAGAACTTCCTGTTTAAATTCTCAACCAATAAGAAATGTACCTGAATACTGAATACATTAAACCTGTAAGTAAATCAACGTTTCTTTTAACAAAGATTACCTATTTTTGGTCTCTTGAGAGCATGATTTAAAAGCAATATATTTTATGGGAGAGTAGATGTTTTTGGGCAACTGAAATAACACTTTGGAAAATCTGCTATATATGATGTGCATTGGCATATCTTTGTTCCTAACAGTTTAGAGCAATAACCAGGTATATCAGTCTAACAACTGAGAAGTCTAATTTGCTTTACATCAATACTAGCCAGTAGGCTGTTAGGAGTTGTGGGAGTTGAAGTCCAAAACACCTGGAGGGCCCAAGTTTGCCCATGCCTTCCCTAGATGGATTCTGTGCCCATGGTGCCGTTCTGTGGATCTGTATCATGTGCTCAGTCCCACTAATAAGAACTAGAAATGGGAACACATGGAGGAAAAGAAAAGAAGATGAGTGATAGGTGTTTTCCGAGCTTTTCAGAGGTTATTGATAAACCTAAAATCTAATAAAATGGAAGGAAAATGAGTTAAAGAATGGTGGGGTGAAAACCATTGTATGCCCCTCCCCATCTTTTCCAGCCACAGCTGACCTGTTGTCACAGCATTGGCAGAGACGGGTCCCAGACGTCGTGATCCAGAGATGCCATAGAGATTGAACCTGTATTTGTGAGAGGGGGTTAAGTTGGGGACCACGACCTCACGAGAGTCTCCTCCCACAGGAAGTGCCCAGGGTGTTCCCCTTGCATCCTTGTATTGGACTGAGAAAGAATCAAAGTTTCCTTGGGGGACAGTCCAGGTGAGACGGGCAGTGTCACTGGTGACCTCAGAGACCGTGAGCATCCCCAAACGGGGCTCTGTTTCTCTAGGGACCTCCTTGACAGCTTCTTCTCCCACTTCGTGGTCCTTCTCATCAGGGGTTGTTACTGAAGCTAAACCAAAGAAGATGAGTTAGTGAGAGAGAGAAAGACGCTGGATTGTAACAGACTTTCCTTTTTGCAAGTTCCTACTACAAGAAGAAGAAGAGAAAAAACTTGTTAGAAGGTTAAGAAGCATGACTGAGGACACAAAACATATAGTCAGGATTCTTCCGCATCACAAACCAGTTACCCATAGCATTACAATTTCCTGACTAGACTACTGCAATGTCTTCTATGTGGGGTTGCTTTTGAAGACTTATTTGGATGCAGAATTTGCAAGCCGATGGGCTAACATGGTCTAAAGCAGCTGATGATGGAAATGACTCCTTTGCCAGAGATACAGTAACATCACTCTCAGTGTGATAAGTAGGTAAAGGTAAAGGTAGTCCCCTGACATTAAGTCCAGTCATGTCTGATTCTGGGGTGTGGTGCTCATCTCCATTTCTAAGCCGAAGAGCCAGCGTTGTCCGTAGACACCTCCAAGGTCATGTGGCCGGCATGACTGCATGGAGCGCCGTTACCTTCCCGCCGGAGCGGTACCTATTGATCTACTCACATTTGCATGTTTTTGAACTGCTAGGTTGGCAGAAGCTAGGGCTGACAGCGGAAGCTCACGCCGCTCCCCGGAATCGAACCTGTGACCTTTCGATCAACAAGCTCAGCAGCTCAGTGCTTTAACCCACTGCGCCACCGGCTGTGATAAGTAGTATGCATTAAAATACAATATTTAGAAAGTTTACTTTCATCTTGGATGGCAAAATAATACATCTTTTCTTTTTTTACTGTATGGATTGGATTTTAGTTTTACTTACGTTTTGTTTATTGTTTTGGTTAGCTAGTGTTTATTGTTTTAGGTTAGGGGTACAGTAGTGTGTTTTAGTTTTAGTTTAATACTAGCTGTCCCCTGCCACGCATTGCTGTGGCCCAGTCTATGTATCGGTTTTGTGTGTATATATATGTGTATATGTGTGTGTGTATGTTTGTATATATGTGGTTTTACGCATGCATTGTAATGTATGTTTTGTTTTTTGGCTTTTTAAGCCCCTTCTGCTGTGTTTTTCGGCTTTTTATGAGTGATGGTCACTCGTTGGCTTGATACATGTATTGTGTCCAAATTTGGTGTCAATGTGTCAAGTGTTTTTGAGTTATGTTAATCTCACAAACGAATATTACATTTTTATTTATATAGACTTGCCGTCCCCTGCCACGCGTTGCTGTGCCCACATGGGGGTTCTGTGTGGGAGGTTTGGCCCAATTCTATCATTGGTGGGGTTCAGAATGCTCTGTGATTGTAGGTGAACTATAAATCCCAGCAAGTACAACTCCCAAATGTCAAGATTCTATTTTCCCCAAACTCCACCAGTGTTCACATTTGGGCATATTGAGTATTTGTGTAGAGTTTGGTCCAGATCCATCATTGTTTGAGTCCACAGTGATCTCTGGATGTAGGTGAACTACAACTCCAAAACCGAAGGACACTGCCCACCAAACCCTTCCAGTATTTTCTGGTCATGGGAGAACTGTGTGCCAAGTTTGGTTCAATTCCATTGTTGGTGGGGTTCAGAATGCTCTTTGATTGTAGGTGAACTATAAATCCCAGCAACTACAACTCCCAAATAACAAAATCAATTTTTTAAAGTGAAGGACATACATTGGGTTGTTAGGTGTCTTGTGTCCAAATTTGGTGTCAATTCATCCAGTGGTTTTTGAGTTCTGTTAATCCCACAAACGAACATTACATTTTTATTTATATAGATTAGTTATATATACAAGTGTATTTTCATATGCAGTGGGACTCAGGCACAATTGTGAGCTATTGATGAGTATCGTATGTCACTAGCATAGGATGGGTCTATTGTGTGCATGTGCGGTGTGTGGCAGAAGAGGAACAGGCAGTGCATGGCATTGTGCTTGTATGCCAGTTTAACACCTCCATACAATAAATTCCCCAGGGCTGACCAGGAAGATCATTTTTGGTGGTCAACTCCCAACTCCACACAAAGAAGTCTGCTTCATGCTTGATTAATGCACTTTGAGTGCCAAAAGAGCTCCCCAGATCTTTAAAACAATACATTTGATTTCATGCCTTGTTTCTACTTAATTTGCTTTTTATAACACACACTCTAAAGTTGCTTTATTTGCAGTTTTGATTATCTGAAGTTGTTTTATTTGGTTTTGATTATAATCTTTTTTTACTGATCTTGTGGGATGTGGCATTATTATTATTATTATTATTATTATTATTATTATTATTATTATTATTATTCTTTACACACAAGGGAAGTCTGTAAAGAAAGTCAAGTTTTCCCAGAACATATCTACAGCCTTCTTTAAAACAAACAAACAAACACAATTCTTCCCTGAATGTGGAAACCTGTACGGCAGTGTTTCTCAACCTTCCAATGCCACAACCCTGAATACTCATGTTGTGCTGACCCTCAACCATAAAATTATTTTCGTTGCTACATCTTAACTGTAATTTTGCAACAGTTATGAATCATAATGTAAATATCCGATATGCAGGTTATATTTCTATTCACTAGACCAAATTTGGCACAAATACCTGATACGCCCAAATTTGAATGCTGATGGGGTTGGAGGGAAAATTGATTTTGTCATTTGGGAGTTGTAGTTGTTGGGATTTATAGTTCACCTACAAACAAAGAGCATTCTGAACTCCAACAACGATGGAATTGAACCAAACTTGGCACAGAGAACTCCTACGACCAACAGAAAATACTAGAAGAGTTTGGTCCTTGAGTTTTGGAGTTGTAGTTCACATACATCCAGAGAGCACTGTGGACTCAAACAATGATGAATCTGGACCAAACTCGGCACAAATACTCAATATACTCAAATGTGAACACTGGTGGAGTTTGGGGGAAATAGACCTTTTCATTTGGGAGTTGTAGTTGCTGGGATGTATAGTTCACCTACAATCAAAGAGCATTCTGAACCCCACCAATGATGGAATTGGGTCAAACTTCTCACACAGAACCCCCATAACCAATGGAAAACACTGTATTTTCTGATGGTCTTTGGGGGTCAGGACCCCCCACCAGAGGTCCCCACCCCCAGGTTGAGAAACGCTCTGATACAGGATTCCAGCATCCATATATATGAATGATTCCGGGGTGTGTGTATGTATGTGTATGTGTATATGTTTGTGTGTGTGTGTGTATTCATTTATTCCTGCCTTTTCTCAGTATGAAACTTTCAGGTGTAAAAATCACATTTCAATAAGATCTTTCACACTTTCAACTCTGTGTATTGTCTGAAAAGAAAAATGGGCAAAGAAGGGAGGAGACAGGCAATGGTTCTTCTACAGACTCTCAAACACAAAAGGCTGACCTAAAAACTAGGAAAATGAAAAAAGTGAGTTAAAGGAAGGTTGAAATGAAACCCATTGCATCCGCCTCCCTGTCTTTCCCAGCAGATCGCTGACCTGTTGTCAAAACATTGGCAGAGATGGGTCCAAGTCGTTGTTGTCCAGAGATGCCATAGAGATTGAACTTGTATTTGTGAGAGGGGAGCAAGTTGGGGACCAAAACCTCACGAGACCCTCCTCCTACAGGAATCATGTGAGATCTTCCTTCTGCATCCTTGTACTGGATTAAGAAAGAATCAAAGGTCCCCAGAGGGACAGACCAGGTGAGGCGAGCTGCATTACTTGTGACCTCGGGGACCGTGAGCTTCCCCAAACGGGACTCTGTTCCAGTGGGGACCTCCGTGACGGCTTCTTCTCCCATGTTTTGAGGCTTCTCATCATGAGTTGTTGTCATAGCTAAAACAAAAATGTTAAATCAATAGGATAATGTTCCAGTAGACTTTGGCCTTTTTGTCTTCTCATGAACTGCTACCTTAAGAAGAAAGAAAATAGCTGACCAAGAGACTAAAAAGCATAATTGGTAACAAATAGCACATCATATAATCAACAACTTCCACAACAACTTCCACAAGACCTCACTACCTCTGAGGATGCTTGCCATAGATGCAGGCGAAACATCAGGAGAAATGCCTCTAGAACATGGCTCTATAGCCTGAAAATACCCACAAGAACCTAGTTCCACAACAATTGTCTGGCTCCATATATTCATGTCCTGGTAATATTCTGACTAGACTACTGCAATATCTTGTATGTGGGGCTGCCTTTCAAGATTACAACCAGGCCCCACTTTTACTTCGGGTACCGATACAGGACTGACATGAAAGTGGGAAGACCACAAATGGAAAAACAACTTGAGGGAACATCTCAATAGGAATCTCAATTTCTTCCAGAGCAACTCTTTAGTTAATGTCTATCAGATGCTGGCAAAACAATTTTGCTCGAAGATCCATAAAAGCCTCGAGAAAATGTGTTGTCTACATCTACAGTTTTGTCCTTGTGGTGCACTTTCCCTCCTCCTAACTTGAAGGCCTAACCCCACTGTTTGTCCTTTATGGACTCCTCTCAAATACACGTTTTCTACTCCTACCTCATCCAGGGTTTTATCATTTTATCTTGTGTATTTGGCCTGTCCATTGTGTTTGATTTTCCGTTATCTTATTTTGCTTTATTTATTTGATTTTGCTACTGTATGTATTTTATTCTGATGTAATTTTTCTTGGGTTGTTGTAGGTTTTTTCGGGCTGTATGGCCATGGTCTAGAGGCATTCTCTCCTGATGTTTCGCCTGCATCTATGGCAAGCATCCTCAGAGGTAGTGAGGTCTGTTGTAACTAGGAAAAAGGGTTTATATATCTGTGGAATGACCAGGGTGAGACAAAGGACTCTTGTCTGCTGGAGCTAGGTGTGACTGTTTCAACTGACCACCTTAATTAGCATTCAATGGGCTGACTGTGCCTGGAGCAAACTTTTGTTGAGAGGTAATTAGATGTCCCTGCCTGCTTCCTCTCTGTTGTTGTGCTGTTGCAACATAATTTTTCTTGTTTTGTATTTTATTTTGCTGTAATGTATCTTCGGGCTTGGCCTCATGTTAGCTGCCCCGAGTACCCTCCGGGGAAATGGTGGTGGGGTATAAATAAAGTTTATTGTCATTTTACTGACACAAAAGCACAGTATGTCACAGCAAATGAGATCTATATGCTGAATTTCGTATTGTTGTTGTTGTTGTTGTTATTATTATTGTCAAAGGGTTTCATGGCTGGAATCACTGAGTTGCTGTGAGTTTTCTGGGCAGTATGGCCATGTTCCAGAAGCATTCTCTCCTGACATGGTGGTCGTTAGAGTGTTAGACCATCTCACCTCTTCAGAAGTCTACCGTATACCATGCAGCTGTGCACAAGTCTACATAGGGACCACCAAACACAGCGCCCAAACACGAATCAAGGAACATGAAAGGCACTGCAGACTACTCCAACCAGAAAAGCCGGCCATAGCAGAGCACCTGATGAACCAACCTGGACACAGCATGTTATTTGAGAACACAGAAATGCTGGACCACACCAACAACCACCATGTCAGACTACACAGAGAAGCCATTGAAATCCACAAGCATGCGGACGATTTCAACAGAAAGGAGGAAACCATGAAAATGAACAAAATCTGGTATCAGTATTAAATTACTCTAAAATTAGGACAGTAAATAAAGAACAACACTCAGAAAACAGGGGAATTCCAGACAGGAAACTATCAGGGCCAGATAACACATCTCAACAAATGATTCCCCAGGCAGGAAGCAGCTGCAGGTCCTTTCAATGTTAATCAAGGTGGCCAATTGCAACATTCACACCTCAAGCAGACAAGATTTCTTTCTCCTACTCTGAACATTCCACAAATAACACCTCACTTGCCTAGTTTCCAACAGACCTCACAATTTTATTTATTTATTCATTCATTTATTCACAGTATTTGCATTCCGCCCTTCTCACCCCGCAGGGGACTCAGGGCGGAACATAATGCACATATACATGGCAAACATTCAATGCCATTAGATATACAACATATATAGACAGACACAGAGGCAATTTAACATTCCAGCTTTCCGGCTTCATGAGGGTATGCTCGATTCCGGCCACAGGGGGAGCTGCCATTTCACCATCCACTTGTGACACCAAGTCCTTGATGACGTACTTCCTCATTCTTACACACGCTGCTGGAAGGTTTTTTTTTATGGTGTCATAAATTAGTTAAATTAGCCTCCCCGCATAAAGCAGTATCTAAATTTCCTACTTGACAGATGCAACTGTCTTTCGGGCTGCACAGGTAGACTATTAATGATCAGGAGATCACTCCGACCCGGGCTGGCTTCGAACTCATGACCTCTCGGTGAGTAGTGATTTTATGCAGCTGGCTACTGAGTAGCTGCACCACTAATTCTGAGGATGCCTGCCATAGATGTGGGTGAAATGTCAAGAGAGAATGCTTCTGGAGCATGGCCACACAGCCCAAAAAACTCACAGCAACCCAGTGATTCCAGCCACAAAAACTTTCGCCAATAGTTTTCCCAAACTTCCCCCATCTGGGAAAAGTTTTCTCCAAGCAAGCTGTGCTGCCTGACTTCATGCCTGAACTTCAAATGCCGAGTGACACATTTAGCAGCAGTGCAGAAAAATTATTTGGGGAGGAGGGAATAATTTTCTACACCTAACCTTAAGCATTAGGGGAGAAAAAGGAATGAGCAAATACAGAGACAAGAAAAGGAGAGAGGTGATGATCCAACCAGTGCATCTCTAAGACTAGAGATACACTTGAGACCTAATGCCATGGAAAAAAATTGAGTTAAAGAACAGTGAGCGTGAAGCCATATTTGTCCCCCTCCCTATCTTTTCATCACATCTGCTGACCTGTTGTCACAGCATTGGCAGAGATGGGTCCAAGACGTCGTGATCCAGAGATACCAAAAAGATTGAACCTGTATTTGTGAGAGGGGACCAAGTTGGGGACCATGACCTTGCGGGACCCTCCTGCTACGGGGAGGGCCTGGTTTCTTCCTTCCGCATCTTTGTACTGGATTGAGAAAGAATCAAAGTTTCCCTGGGGGACAGTCCAGGTGAGATGGGCAGCATTACTGGAGACCTCCGAGACCGTGAGCTTTCCCAAGTGGGGCTCCATTACCACAGGGGCCTTCTCATATGTCTCTTCTTTGGGCTTCTTATCTTCTGTTATGGCTGGATTTAAAAACAAAGATGGTAAGTGAGAGATGGATGCAAAGACAACATTGCAATGAGGTTTTTTTTCCCTTTCTTCCAAGAAGCAGGAAAATCGCATTCAAAGCACCCCCGACAGATGACCATCCAGCCTCTGTTTAAAAAGGAGCCTCCACCACACTCCAAGGCAGAGAGTTCTATTCCATTTCCCTGTATAGAGCTCTCTTTCTGAACTTCTCCCTTTTCTACAGTCACTAGAGCAGTGGTTCTTAACCTGGGGTCCCCAGATGTTTTTGGCCTACAACTCCCAGAAATCCCAGCCAGTTTACCAGCTGTTAGGATTTATGGGAGTTGAAGGCCAAAAACATCTGGGGACCCCAGGTTGAGAACCACTGCACTAGAGGCTTGGGACATTGTCCGGAAATCCTAGGCCGAAGCAATCCAAAAACAGACATCCTTAGCATCCTGCATTCAGCAGTATTCATATACTAGCAGTCCAAAGGACAACAGAAGCTTTTGACCAGCATAAGCTTCACAAGAAAGAAGATTGATACAGGGTTGTTGTAGGTTTTTCTGGGCTATATGGCCATGTTCTAGAGATTGATACAGCTTATAAGCAACAGTTTATAACCATCACTTTGCACCAGAGGCAGAAGACTCCAGAGAGATGGCTGAAGCCAGCAGAGGCTCCTTTTGTAATGTACTGTTTTAAGTTACCTTATGATAGTGCCGGGTGGAGTTAACCCTTTATTCATCTAGTTTGCACTAAACTCATTTTGGTATCTTTCCACCTTGCCTAAAATGCCTCTGTGTGTAAAGGGTCTCAATCTTAACAGAAGGTATACAGAGAGCCCCCAAGTAAAGCCAGACACTATAGTTTCCCCAAAGGCTTGGGCATGCTATCTTAAAGAGAAACTGTGGATACTGGAAGATAACATTCAGATTTACTCAAAATTTTCTGGCCTTGTTATCTATGTACAATCATATCCTGATTAGACTACTGCAATGTGTTATGTGAGGGCCTGCCCTTGAAGTCTATGTGGTGCAGAAAACAGCAGTGAAGTTATTGGAGAGTTCAATGGTATGCTGCATCGCTCAGCCATACAAAGCAAGATGGGTCTTCTTGCTGACTATCTTGAAAAAGAATGCTGCTGAAACCAAAACAGTAAGAAAGGGCTGTTGGTGAGAGAAGAAATGCAGAATCAGAGAGTTTACAAGAACAGAAGGCAAAATGATGGAAGAAAAGATACTGCTGTTGTTTTTCCAGATCCACTGCTGACCTGTGACAATACTGATGGAGACTGGGCCAAGACGCCTGTGTTCAGAGATGCCGTAGAGATAGAACGTGTATCTGTAGAAAGGCACCAGGTAGTAGATGACCACTGAGTTGGTATCCTTCTCCACAGGAATTTCCTGTGGTTTATTTTCAGCATCCGTGTACTGGATCACAAATGAGTCAAAAGTCTCCCTAGGGACATCCCAAGACAGACGGACAGAATCACTGGTGACTTCAGAGACAGAGAGCTCCCCCAGGTTGGGTTCTGGTGTTGGGGTTGCTGTTTCTTTTACTTGCTGCTCTTGTGCCAATGGAACTGTAAAAGAAAGATGCATATCGTCTCGCTAGGATTTTCTTCATCAGCTCAGTCACCAGTTGTAATGCCTCATCCTCAACGTGTCGATGTGCATATGAAACTACACTGCCATAGCAACTTCTAGGTGTTTCTGTAGCCACATAAAGATTCCTTCCACTTTTTCTCTCCACCTTCCTTCTCTCTCCCCACCTTTCCTTAAAAGGGTGTGTACCAGCTCTGTGGAGCTCTTTCATTACTTGAAACTCCATTTGCCTGAGCTTGGTCAATCTATGTCTGAATGTACATCTCAATGCCACTAGTAGAGTTTTCATTATGTAACTCACATATTGCCTGTTTACCTTATAGGACCATGATGGTGAACCTATGACACGCGTGTCAGCACTGACACTCATGGCTATTTTTGATGACACGCAGACACATGCGGCCGCATACAGAGAAATACACCTTATAAGAGCCAATCTAATTCCATCCTTAAATTTGTAAAAGGCTCTACAAATTTAACATCTGCACTTTTGAGCATTGTTCACTCCATAACTCAGCATGGATTATACATTTTTCTTATTTAAACTATAAATATTGCAAAATTATGAGTTTTTTTTCTCGAAGTGACACCCCACCCAAGTTATGCTCAGGTTTTTGGCAAATTTTGACACACCAAGCTCAAAAGGTTGCCCGTCACTGTTATAGGAAGCTCCCACTTATTGTTGTACTCCAGAGCAGAATCACCTCTGACTTCAAACACCACACCAGCTGGGTAAAATCAGCAAGCAGTTTATTTAGGAATATATGTAGCCAAAGCAGTAAAAAGTAATCCACAGTAAAAGGTAATCCAACTGATACAAAGGAAGACAGGAACAAAAGTGGGCACTTGAATCCATGAACAAAACAGAAACATATCCCATAAGCAAAACATGAGCTAGGCAGACCTTGGCGCTCGAAACTTGGCGTTATTCTCACATTGCCTCAGCTGAAGCAATCGTCTCTCACAAATCATTTATAAACTCTTCCCTGACTCCAAACTGATCAGGACACATTCTTTCTTAGTTTTGGTTTACTATTTATCTTCTGTTGAAGCCTAGCTGAGCGTCTTAATTGCTGCACAGACTACCTCTATTTACTAAAACTGTTCAAGGTCTCGTTCCCATCATTAACTTCTGCACCTGCTACTTCAAAATCAACTTCATTCTCAGATAACAGACCAGGGAATTGTGGCGAAAGGCCTTTCCCAAGCCCAGGACCTTCAGGATCCTCTTGCAGTAACTCAGGCCTCTCGTTTAAACTCCATTCAGGCCCAAAGGACCTTTCATTCCCCAAACCACCAGGCCCTGGCCCAGGAACCAGGTCAACATCCCCATTCCCTTCATGAACTTCAACATGAACATCAGACACAATCATAGAATCATAGAATCATAGAATCAGAGAGTTGGAAGAGACCTCATGGGCCATCCAGTCCAACCCCCTGCCAAGAAGCAGGAATATTGCATTCAAATCACCCCTGACAGATGGCCATCCAGCCTCTGTTTAAAAGCTTCCAAAGAAGGAGCCTCCACCACACTCCGGGCAGAGAGTTCCACTGCTGAATGGCTCTCACAGTCAGGAAGTTTTTCCTAATGTTCAGATGGAATCTCCTTTCTATGAGTTACTGATTGGACAACTGTCAGAAAGTGGAATCAATAGATACAGCCATGTTTTCCCTGACTCTATCCATCTGGAATGTGATCTACTTCTTTCCCTAAGGCCCTCCACTTTCCCAAGCATTATGGTGAATCATCTCTTTTCACGATATAGCCAAAGTTCAACACCCTCAGTTCAGTCATCTTGGCTTCTAGGGATAGTTCAAGGGTGGTTTGTTCTGGGCACATTAATAATAATAATAATAATAATAATAATAATAATAATAATAATAATAATAATTTATTTATATTTTGCCCTGTCTCCCCAAGTGGACTCAGGGTGGATTACAGCAACAACAGGCAAACATTCAATGCCTGATATAACAATAAATACAAATATAATAATAAACCACTCAGAACCCAAGTTAAACCAACATATACCACATTAAACCCACATATAAGACCAAATTGTAACATACAACCTAAGTCTATATTAAGTTATATCTAACATAAAAAATATGAACACTTCCAGCATGAAATCTAAAATGAGTTGATTTATTTTTTATCAATTCATTTCTTCCTCTCAGAGTCACTCGGGACCATGTTCTGACTTATAAGAAGCAAAAAAAAGTGGGTGCTAGAAACAATATCATACGAAAGCTGACTGGCACAACCTGGGGATCACAACCAGACACAGTGAAGACATCTGCCCTTGCGCTGTGCTACTCTGCTGCTGGGTACGCATGCCCAGTGTGGAACACATCTCACCACCTAAAACAGTGGATGTGGCTCTTAATGAGACATGCCGCACTACCACAGGATGTCTACGCCCCACACCACTGGAGAAATTATACTGCTTAGCTGGTACTGCACCACCTGACATCCATCAGGAAGTAACAGCTTGTAATGAAAGGACTAAGGCATTGACATCTCTGCCCCATCCTCTGTTCAGATATCAGCCAGCAAGCCAATGAATCAAGAAATAGCTTCCTATGATCTGCAGAGATATTTGCAGGAACCCAAAAGTGGCAGTCTAAAACCCAGAACCTCAATCAGTGGCTGAGACCAGATGAGAGACTCCCTCCTGGGCACACAGAAGACTGAGTGACTTGGAAGGTACTGAACAGACTGTGCTCTGGCACCACAAGATGCATAGCTAACCTTAAGAAATGGGTCTACAAAGTGGAGTCTACGACATTTAAATGTGGAGAAGAGGAAACCACAGACCACTTACTACAATGCAGCCTGAGCCCTGTCACATGCACAACAGAGTACCGTCTTACGGCGACACCAGAGGCCAGTTAGTAGTCCGCGTTTTGCACAAGTCCTTGTCCTGCCCTCTCTAATCTGATTATGCCCACAGTACTCTGGTCACTGATGGCTGAGGTTGGTTTTGATACAGTCTATGATGTTTCTATACTTAGCTGGTTTTAATTATTTTAATTTAGATTGTTTATACAGTATTTTATTATGTTTTTAAATTGAGTTTTAGCTTGTAAATTCTGTTTATGCTGGGCTTGGTCCCCATGTAAGCCATCCTGAATCCCTTTACGGAGATGGTGGTGGGATATAAAAATAAAGGTCCATTGAGCTGCTGAACTTGCTGACCAAAAGGTCACAGGTTTGAATCCTGGGAGCGGTGTGAGCTCCTGCTGTTAGCCCCAGCTTCTGCCAACCTAGCAGTTTGAAAACATGCAAATGTGAGTCAATCAATAGGTACCACTTCTGCAGGAAGGTACCACTCCATGCAGTCATGCTGCCACATGACCTTTTGGAGGTGTCTACGGACAATGCTGGCTCTTCAGCTTAGAAATGGAGATGCGCACCACCCCCCAGAGTCGGACATGACTAGATTTAATGTCAAGGGGAAAACTTTACCTTTGTATTGTCGAAGGCTTTCATGGCCGGAATCACTGGGTTGTTGTAGGTTTTTTCGGGCTGTATGGCCATGTTCTAGAGGCATTCTCTCCTGACATTTCGCCTGCATCTATGGCAAGCATCCTCAGAGGTAGTGAGGTCCTCACTACCTCTGAGGATGCTTGCCATAGATGCAGTGAAACATCAGGAGAGAATGCCTCTAGAACATGGCCATATAGCCCGAAAAACCTACAACAACCCAATTGAAGCCTTTACTTTAAAGTTATGACTGACTCTAAACAATGCTCACCTGTGAAAGTGTCAGTAGATATAGGCCCAAGGGTTTCACCACCTGTGATGCCATAGAGGTCAAATTGGTACCTCTGGGATGGAGCCAGGTTAGGGATTGTGACCTCTCGAGAGTCACCATCTACCGTCAGAGTCTGCACATCATCATCTCCATCTTCATACTGAACAAGGAAAGAATCAAAACGTCCCACTGGGACACTCCAAAAAAGGCGGACTGAATCGCTGTTTGTTTCTGAAACCAAGAGTTCCCCCAGTCGAGGTTTGCGTTCTTCACCTTCCTCCTCTTTCTCCTTCTCCTCTGGTTCAACTAGGATGGAAAAAAGGGAAGGAAAAAGACCCGAGGGCCATGAGAAATGTTCTGCACCTGGATTGTTCTGCTATGGGAGGGAATGAAAGCACAGAAAGGCCAAGAAATGCGCAAAGAAGGGGGAAAGCCTGAAAGGCAACGGAGAAAATGTTATTATGGCAGCAAACATGCAGTACAGTTCTTTATACCCAGTAAGGAAAGAAAAAGAAAGGATGACAAACTATGGTATGACCACAAAATGATGGCTGATGTCTACCAAACACGATGGAGAGGCACACATATTTCTTTCCTAGATTAGAAGATAAGAGGGTATCATGGAAGGAATTCATTTCTCTCACCCTTTATACCACCCACTGCTTTAAACGAAGCGGAAAAGACACCTGCTGACCTGTGGTGGCCTCAGCGGAAACAGGGCCAAGCCGTTTGCGACCAGAAAGTCCGTAAAGGTTGAACTTGTATCTGCGGGAAGGAGCCAGGTTTGAAACAGTGACCTTGCGTGAGGGGCCTTCCACGGGCAACGACTGGGGTTTGCCCTCTGCGTCCTTGTACTGGATCAGGAATGAGTCAAAACTCCCCATTAGGACAGTCCAGGAGAGAAGAGCGGAGTTGCTGGTGAGATCGGAAATGGAGAGCTCCCCCAGGCTGGGCTGCACTGACTCTTCTTTCTTTGCTGGAGAGGCTGAAAAACAGGAATTGGGACCACATCTGCAAAAGAGTCTCCAAAATTAAAAGTCATTCAAAGGGTGCTTAATTCAGAGTTACTGATTTCTAGTCATGTGCACAAAATTAGTTCCAACCTTTTGATTTGTGTCTTTTGTGGTTAGTTGGATCCATTCATGAAGAACTTGTGGATACCGAGAGCTGACTGTATTTCTCTCAATCTGACATGATACTCCTGTTGATGAATCCTATAATTGCATTGCCTTTTTTTTCTTTTGGCCCTTTCATTATAGTGCTGTCTTAAGTTTAGTCGTTTAGTCTGTGGTCTGCTGAGACCCCCTAGATCAGGAATGGGCAAACTTGGGCCCTCCAGGTATTTTGGACTTCAACTCCCACAATTCCTAATAACCTATAGGCTGTTAGGAATTGTGGAAGTTGAAGTCCAAAATACCTGGAGGGCCTAAGTTTGCTCATTCCTGCCTGTTGGAGTTCAGCCTGTGGTTGTGTTTCAAGATCAAGGTGCTTTGGATGTGGGGAATGATGTTAATGAGGTTCAAGATGAGTTTCAAGATGGCAATGGTTTGGTCAGTGATATTGATGCAGAGAATGACCAGGAGATCCCTGTAGTTTCCCATGAGAATGTCCCTGAGGGGTGTGGGGATGATGGTGTGCTTTCTGAATAGTTACCAGTGAGTTCTCATGAGAGAGAATATGAAAATAGCTCAGCAGCTGGCCCAGCTGTAAAAGTTAATAAGCAAGTAGATAACGAGCCAAGAAGATAGACGAGAAGGGATCAGTCAAAACAGGAGAGCTGAGCAATGGCTTAGGCACTCTGCCAGGCTTCAACAGAAAATAATAACAAAGCCTCAATAAAGAGAAACCAATTTCTGACCACTAGTGACCTAGCTAACGAGGGGATAAAAGTCTCAAGTTTGGAATATGTAGTCAGATGCACGCCAAGTTCTCATCCTTGTTCATGGAAGCCTTGCTTTAGAGATTCATGCTAAGATATTTCTTGTTTCATGGTTTTGATTCCTGGATTTCTTGATTGCTTATCCAAGCCTTGGATCAATGTATTCCTGATTTTTTCTGGATTGTATTAGAGTTGTGCAGACTTTGTTTTTATGGACTTTGCTGAACTCTACCTTGGACTAATTTGTTCCTGCTTATCTTCTTACCAAATTGGATTTACCCATTTCTTTAACATGCCTTTTACTTTACTGTTTTTTAGTTATCTTCAATAAAAGGATTGGTTTTTTTTTCATATTCAACATGTGGTGTTTAAAGTCAGAGGATTATTCCTGTCCTGGTGCAACACTGCCCTAGATGCTTTCCACATCTACTGTTGTCTATCCACATGGCTCCTAACCTAAATTAATGCATTTTGTGGATTTTGGTTCATATCTCCAATCTGTTAAGCTCTCTCTGAAATACAGAGAAGAAAAAGTAGCTTGAGATGGCATTTCTCAGTTCAAAATCATACACACTTACCTGTGACTGCATCTGCAGAGGATGGGCCAAGACGTTTACGCCCTGCAACTCCATAGAGGTTGAACTTGTATCGACGAGAAGGGGACAGACTAGTGATGGTGGTCTCACGGGCACTTGCGTCCAAGGGCAACGCTTGAGGTTTGCCTTCAGCGTCCTTGTACTGGATTAAGAAGGAGTCAAACTCCCCTGTACGAACAGTCCAGGTGAGATGGGCGGAATCGCTGGTGACGTTTGAGACAGAGAGCTGACCCAAGCTGGGTGGAGCTCGTGTTTCTGCTGGAAGTGACACTATAAAAGAAAAGCGAAAGGGAGATCTAGTGAATCATTTCTTAGTACTAATAAAGGCTTCTTAAATGTGAACATTTCAAGGCTAGTACAGGTAAGAAAGGTAACTATTAAAAAGATGAGACTGCTGTATATACTCATTTGGAAGTCTAGAATTTTTAGTTAAAAAAAACTGGGTCAACATACCTATGGGTCAGTGTAAGAACTGTATCTTTACCCTTATACAAAATGAACCACCCCCTTCTCTGAGTAGAACAGTGAAGGAGAAGAGCTTACTCTGTTCTGGGAGAGCCTAAAACAGTGTTTGTCAACCTTCCTAATGCCGCGATCCCTTAATACTCATGTTGTGGTGAAATGATTTTTGTTGCTACTTCATAACTGTAATTTTGCTACTGTTATGAAT